TTCCCGACGAGCGGGGTCGCCCCTCAGCCTCCCTGCAGAAGCTGCCAATGAGGTAACCAATTAGCGCCGTGTTTAAGCTGTATGATCTTTATTCACCTGTCTCTTTGTCTGGGTGCCGAGCCTAGCGCAGCACAGATATTCTGTTGATGCCTCGAGGCACCGCTGAAATAGAATAGCATCAGTGTCACGTCACGTGGCCCCAGCTTCATCAGAAGCTGGACCGAGCCCAAGCTGATTTCACACGGGCCACCGCACAGTCATCACCAGATAATCGCTGCCGGTTACTACCTGCCAGGCTGGACCTTACCACGAGGCAGGCCACCGTCCTCCAAGCCGCAAAGATGGTTTAATATCCAAGAACTTTGCTAAGGGAGGTTTCAGCAAGCATATGCAGGTTTTGAAATCCAACTCACCTGTCTCCTGGCTTAAACTCTCGCGAAATCTTGGTCTTCTTCTTCTTGTGCTTCCGCTTCAAGTTTTTGATGGAAAGAGGGATGCTTTTCTTACGGCCAGTGCCGCTGCCACTCTGGGATGAGGCAGTGGAGCTAGCAGAGGAGGTGACAGAGCTAGTGTCATCAGTGTCATCAGCTGCCTCATCGTCAGCATCTTGCTCCATGGACTGAAGCCGGTAGTCAGACGAACCTTCATCCTTCAGCAGAAAGGGAGGCTGCTGCTGTCGTGCTGCTGCTCCCCCTTTCTCCTTCTCCGGTTCTTCAGGCTGCTCCTCCTTTCTCTCCCCAGGACTCGGTGCACTGTTGGAAGAGTCATCCAGCTCACACTTCGAGCCAGGCTCTTCAGACTTTTGGTCAGCAGGTGGAGTAAGCTCTTTGTCAGGGGCTTCACTGGTACTCTGAGACTCCGGGGAACATGACATGATCTTCACTATCTGCTTCTTCAGCAGCCGCCTCACCTAGAGAGAGCAGACCTGGGTCAGCCAGCGTGCCTGTACACTCCACAAGCTGCCCTCCAACCTGGGCAACCAGCAGGAAAACAGCACCCCGTGGGCCTCTGCACACTCACCCGCACCAGATCGGCAAACCATTACCTGACCACTGCTCGACTCCGGAGCAGCACTGGACTCGTCCAAGGAAAGCCAGCTTTGCTCCTTGTGGCTATTTTAAGCATGTTCTGAACTTTTTGTTACGGAAGGAGGCTGCACAAGTTAATCTACGTAACAGACACAGCTATGCAGGGAGGTCACCGTGCACACTGACAACATCCTGTTATTCTAGGGACACCGCTGCTCTGCAGCCAGCAGGTAGAAACCGTCGCGTGACTCATTTGGCCTAGGAAGCAAAGACTGCCTTCTTGTCTCACTGCAGCGAGGATTTAACAGAACAGTTCAGCTCCCTGAGAAACCCGAGGTCGTGCTAATGGAAACGACATGTGTCTAACAGCCCCGGCTGTCAGGGCACACCAGCTCCGACACAGCCTGACCCCTGCAAGGTGACACTTCAGTGTTCAAGGTCCTGTTCATGCTCTTTCCTGGCATTAGCTGCATGCCTCACCCAGTGCAGTCATGCTGCTGTACAAGGTAACTTCACTGCTGGCAAAAACAAACCATTACTCTTTACAACAACCACTTCAGGAGTCACATTTCAGACCACATGATTACCAGGAAGGTTTCTGCTTTAAAAGTCACAGCAGCCAGAAATGCTTGGAGAAGTCAACACTTCCCTCGACTCCTCAACTCACCTTTTTGGCAACTGATCCTTCACCCAGGACACAGTTCCTCTCAGGGCATTCACAGGTGATTTTTGCGGGTTCCACTTTGTCTGGGAACACATAGAGGCACCTTTCCCCAAGCTGCCTTTGGGCATGGTCGAAGCACCCCAGACGCCTTACCCTGGGAGAACAGGAAGAGAGACATAAGCCAAGTGCAAAAGCAGTAGCAGACCCCAGCAGTGACAAGGGCCTTCACAAGGCTGGCATGACCTCAGGCCAATGGCACTTCTGCTGGGGTGACAGAAGCTAACACCACACCCAATATTTTCCAGGCACACAATTGTAAAGGAGGAGTGGGAATCTCACCAGGGACTGGGTGAGGATACAAAGAGTTTGGGTGGGACACCAGAAACTCCTCTCCCTCTAGCTCCCCCTCCCAAGGACACTTCCCAAGAGACATCTGAGGTCAGCAGTGGTTTGGCGTTCTTTTTTGCTGCCATCTGAAAGCTGCTCTCCTCCAGCTTATGGACTCCAGGCAGGAACCACACTGCATTGTGCTATCACTCATCCGGCTTTTCCTTCCCCGTTTTTGTCCAGCCCATTTCTGAGCTGCCGCCTGCAGAGGGCACCAGATGTTCCTGCAGCACAGCCCGGGTACAGAGCAGGACACACACAGCTAAAGGAGGCAGCCTGCTCCAGACACAAGCGGAAGGACAGAAGCAGCAAGATGCTGCCAGATACTGCTTTCCTCTGTACTTCTCAGCTGCGCGTAGCTGGTGGGATGCTAGCCCTTGTAGTGGTAACTCAAGGGTACGCTAATCTAATTTGGAAGTTATTCTCCCACTTTTTTAAAGCTCCGCAACATAAGGGCGCACAAGCAGGAAAAGCCCACTGGAAACAGCAGCGCTGTGGCTAATCAGTCGGTAGGCACGTCACTCATAGGCTCTGCAGGGCCCGGGTGCTGGGAGTGAAAAAGAATTTTCAGCGGATCTCACCTGGACAGTTTCTCCTGGCTGATTATTGAGGGAGGAGGGCTCACACTGTCAGTACCTCCAGGACAGAAGCTTTTAGTGATCCAAGTAACCTTTAGTTCTACCACCTGTACCTACAATATAAATAGAAAGAAGGCAATTTAATTTTTCAAAGACTTTCTTCCTAGATCAGTATCTGGGATCCGAACGTTTAAGCACAGGAAGGCAGCAAATCTGCTTTTAGTATTTAAGATGACCAAGTGCAGTTTCACCACACTCAGGACCACCGCAGTGCTCCCACAGCACAGCTCTTGGCAACATCCAGAGCTTCTCTAGTTTTTAAACTCAAGAAAGATGACAGCTGGCTTGGGAAGGAAGCTATAATATGTACAAATCAGTGGCCCAATGTCACAAAGACACATGCTAATGGACTTGGAGCTGCTCCCTCTTTCAAAGAGTCTGCAACATTTCTCCCTTTTTGGATAGCACGTGACATTAAGTTTCAATGGAAGAAGTGCTTCTACTATCCTAACGATCAGCAGTACTGGCCTCTAAGTGCACTGGCACGCGATCGCCCCACGGGGTGCCAGCAGGGACCCTTGGGAGGAAAACTCAAACCACGCTCAGAAGTCCTGTCAGTCCACAATGAGAAATTGGTCACCTCAGAAGAACACAGCCACAGGGAGAGCGCTCTTGGAAGGTTACCATGGCAAGCTGACTCTGCTCCAAAATGCCAGCCCGGGACCATTCAAAGCAGAAGGTGGCCATGTGTCAGCTTCTCAGTCCTTACCTCTTCCACCACCACTCTGAACTTGCTCTTCGTGCTCAGAACAGGCTTCACACCCGAGAGCCACTGCACGCTGGAGAAGACTTTAGAAGGCCCAATGAGGACTTGCCCAGGATAAAAGCCATACGAGTCATCAAAGAAGAGACCCTGTGGGAGAACGGGAGGGGGAAAACACAGCATGAAGGACTCCAACATTCCAGCATTTCTCTTCTTTCATTCGTGAGCAGTAAGATGAACCATAAAGCCCCACAAGTTCCCCATCTCCTAAAGCTCATTCCTCTCCTGAAATCATCCCGGCAGTTCCTATAGCAACCTGCTCTGTCACACATCTGAACGGGACTGTGACTCAGGGGGGGAGAAGCAGAGGTACTTGCAAAACCCAAAAGATTCCCATTTCCACACAAATGTTCTCAGCAACAAGGCAGCCAAGATGGGCTGAGTCCTGGGCAAGGACACCCATCTCTTTTCCATGATCTAATTCAAGCACATACAGCTTTCGGAGCCAGAGGATGCTCTCCTTCACTTCTCTCCTCATTCAGTTAAGTTTGTAAGTACTATTCCTGCATTAGGTGGATTAGTTAACACGACAGTTCTTTGAAAACAAAACAGGATGGTAAACACACCAACTGCTTTCCTAGAGCTCTTTCCCACTGATATTTAGAGTGACTTGATGAGCTGAAGATTCAGAATGTGGGGGCGGACAGTTTAGAGTAGATAAAATAGTGAGCACAAAACTGTATCTATCAAGTCTTGTTATTTTTCAGAAAGGATAAGAGCAGTGTGACAAGACCTAAATCAGGTAAGGATCTAACACACAGCAATTCTGAGTACAGTATCAAGAGTAACACTGGAGACAACTCATGTTTCAGACCAAACCACAAGTCTCCAGAGGACTACATACGCTTTGAAGGCAGCCTGACTCAAAACAAGGTATCTCAAAATTGGGTAGCCAGAAGCTGGATGCTTCTACAACACCCATTTAGCAAGCAGAAACTGTACAGCATGACGCAAAGTAGCGGAGCCTAAGATAACAGAGAACATCTAGCCACAGACCACTCTTGTACAGAAGGAGAAAAATCACAGCAGCACATCCTATTAAACTTACATTCCACTTACTCTTCAAGAAACAGACCTCAAAGTTTAACAGAAGCACAGTTTTAGATCAAAGGGACCTCTGCCTTGAAGGCTGGGAAGGATACGGGCTGCCTGCACTGCGAGCTCTTAAGAATTACACGCCATTCTCCGTCAACTCCCAGTGCTGCTGCCAGGAGCGCAGCGAGGCCCTACCGATGCTGTTGAGAAGAACAAGCAAGCTGCCGTCAACCTTTGAAGGTGAGAGAGGTTAGATCCCATCGTCACACAGGGAATTCTTTCACCCAGAAAACAGCAAAACCTTCCCCAACACGTGATTTGGAAAATGCCAGTATGGTGGCAGGTCTCCATCCGGAGAATGCGACCGCCGACAGCAACAAGAGAGTTCTTACATGATCTGGAAACGTGCTTCGAGCAGAACACCCTTGAAACAACATGCCCTTTTCCAGAAGGGGAACCATTCTGATCGTGTCAAATGGAGTAAGAGCCTTTTCAAGCACGTACGGATGGAACAAGCAGGCAGAGAACTGCCTTGACATCAGCCATCTGACTGCACATTAAGCAAGTTGTTTGCAAAGAAAGCAGTTGGATACACTAATTGTAACACCTCCTCAAAACCTACTCATTACTAGCATTACCTTTAAGCTACATCCCCTTACACTTACTTCAAGTGAAGATCTAGTGAAGTGCTTTTTCAGCTGTGGTGGATCGTTTAGTTTCTAGGATTGATAACTGCCTATAGTTTTGCTTTCTCCCTCCCTCCTGCACAAAGAGCTTACAAAATGATCAAAGGCTCTCAGCAGAACCAGAAGCTCACCGAGTCACTGACGTGAGGACAAACATCATACAGCTTGGCTCCGTCTTCTGTGCTCATAGAACACCTGGAAAACAGATGAGACATGGTGACATTTCCAGAGCCATCCACCCCAAAGGCAAATGGCATCAAATTAAGTGGCGCCACCTGAGCAGGCCTGTCCCTGTGCCCAGCGGTGTGTCCCTGCCTAGAGACAAGCTACAGAAGCACTGCCTGGTATCTAAGAGTTCCATTCAAAACATTAAAAACAATAATTAAGTAATATTCAGGGTGCTGGACAAGATTTGTCTGCTGCAAAGGGCCCCTTTTGTTATTCACAGAGGCAGTTTGGGTACACTCGCTTCGGTAAGAGCTTCATTTCCACAGGGAGTTCTGGTGGGATTTCAAACGATTCGTTAGGAAGAGATTTTGTCACCTCATTTTACACAGCTCTGCACGAGCTGGTAACAGACACCAAGCAAGGTTTTAAATGGCACCAGGCACTGCTGGCGATACAGGTAGAGAAGCGTAGCTATTTTTTATCCCCAGTTTAACACATGCGTAAAAGCCTCCCAGCCTGAACAGTTAACCAGTCGAAATCACAGATGCGTTCACCAATCATCTGTTATAGCTCTCGCACTACTTGCTTCTCAGAGCTGGCTGCGCAATTGTGCATTTGCGTTTTTGGGGTTTTTTAAACATCAATGTCAACACTCAATTGACAAGACAGATGGGGTATTCCCCAGCTGCCAGGCCCACAAGCCTCTTGGCCATCCACTGGTGCCTTCCTTCCCGTGCATCAACAAAAAAAGTTCGTTGGACAAGACACCCTCAGCAGCAGAGTGAATGTAGTGAATTCATAGGGGCTTCAGCTCACAAGTAACTGCCTGACATGCAAAGGAACGGAATTCAGATCCTTCTGTTGGCTTTGCAAAAATAAGTCAACCAGATATTTCTTTTAATATCTCTGGTTAAACCTCTCCCTTGAGATCAGATTTTGGATTATGTCTTCATTGAAAAAAACATTCCTAATCCAGCTGCAAGTAACAGTGAAAAAGCAAAGCTATTCAATCTCGAGCTGCTATTTCATCTTTTATAAAATTCACTAGCCTGCAAGTTTCTACATTTTCAAGGACCATTTTTTAAGGTAAGAATCCTCCCTGCATCTCCGTGAAGTTAGGCTCTCCTACTGAGAAAAGGTCTGGAATAGCAATCCATCTTAACCGGCTGGTTTTCCGAAGGAAAAGCACGGTTTAGAGACCAACATGCTTTAGTTCTGGAGCACTGATCTGCTGGGATTGCCCCCTTCCAGCAACAGCTTTTCCAATGAATCCCAAAGTTTTCAGAGCAAGTTGTATTCTTACTCTCCATCTGAAGACAGTGCAGGCAGATAATTTATCGGAATGAAGCCCAGTCTGTTTCAAATCCTCTTAAAATTGATATGGACTGTGAAGGCCAAGGGGGATAGTCTTCAACAGAACCAAGTACCTGGCTCCATTGGAAAGCTTGAGGATGACCTGGTTCTTCAAATCATAGACCTTGCCCAGCCAGCAGTCATAGGCAATGTAGTCCCCATACATGAAAGGCTACGGAGAAAACAGGAAACAAACTTTATAAATATTAACCGGTGTACTTTGAGCCATCCGTTAAGTCTTCACACAAAGCAGACTAGATCACACTCTCAAAGGGACATACGACAGCAACCGCAGATCTCGCTGTAAACTGGAATTAATGCACATTGAAGAGTTTGCCTGACAGCCAGCACATGGCCTGGATTCTCCAGTTAAACAGCTCTGGGACTTTTCTTCCTCAGATCTTTAAACTTAAGTGTCCTGTTCTGTTCAAGAGGTGCTCTGCAAAGCAGAGCCATACTGGCACTTGCCTTCAGTTAATACTAACACTTAATTTTTATCACTGAGACTAATTTTCCATCCCAGAGAAGCCTGAATCACACTGCCTTTCCACAGGCTGTTTTGCTGAGAAAGGTTGTGACACTCCTCCCGCTCTTCACTCCCAAATGATCTTTTTCTCAGAGGAAAAAGAGTGATAAAATCCTGTCTCACCTGCTCTCTGGAAACCACCCACCCCCTCGGGAGGGAGGACCAGATATGGTTTCAGACTGTTCCAGCTCAACAGAAAGATGCTCGACCCATATCTCAGCACTTTTACAGCCTGTTTAAACACTAATGATATGGCAGCTCAAAAGCTCTGTGTCACTGTCATGGGGGTGCCCCAAGCAGGTGTCACATCAGCCCATCCCAGCACAGAAGTTCTACCACAATTTAATGTCAGCCTAGCCCTTCGAGTCAATTTGGTCTCAGCAATGTGATCAGAAACACAGAACAGATGGGGAGATGAGGTGATGCTGCATCATCCTCTCCCAGGGAGCAAGCTTGCAGTAAGTTTAAAATAAAACCAATCTGCAGATGCATCTTGCACAATACGGACGCTTCCCTTGCGTGTGTTACTTGAAACACAGCCTCCAAAAATCCCTTCGAAGCACCAAGTCCTGGCTCCCAGGAGTATTGTGGCCGTGTTCTCACCCAGATATGTTGCAGGTCTTTGCTGTTGACAGGGTAGAGGATGCAGTTGGTTCCTACCAGCTTCACAGCACACTCTATGTTGACATCAATTACAGTTCCACACTGGCTGTCCTGAAAAAGCAGAAGAGAAAGAGTTTATCGCCCGTGGAAGGTCCTACATACACACATATGTGCTCCATGTAAAAATCAGAACCACGGAGTCAAGTAAACTTTCAGGACTAAACCCCTCTTACCCTTCAGGTCCTTGTCATGAAGGGGCGTTTCACAAGACCCTAAGACAACTCATAAGGCGATATCACCATTGAAGGCCTGTAGTGTCTTCTTTCTGGATAAATTCTGCAATGGCTGCTCAAGCAGCAGCCCAGAGACTCCTGCATCTGGTCAAATAAGACCACCCAATGTCAGGTGCTTAGTGTTTACTTGCTTTAACATCTGCCTGGCTCCCTGGGTCTATTCAACCTCAGATCTCTGCAGCTCCATAGGACCACCCCGCAGGTACTGCCCTGAGTCAGCAGAGGCAGAAGAGATCAGGTAGATCATCAACCCTCAGAACAAATTCTTTAAAGCTATCTGTGACTTCTCATGGAAAGCTTGATTTTGCAGAACATTATAAATGGTCTTCGCCTGCTGCCATACTAAAAAAAAATCCAAACCCAAACCTGGTACCATTAGTGAGTTTTTGAGCCAGGTAATTTACAGCTAGTCCAATTATGAGATGGTTGTCATTATCTCTCACATTTTAGCAGAGTTTTAACCTTTTCGTCCCCAAGAAAACAATGCATGCGGTCGAGCGCCGTCTGGGGCTAGTCTGGCCGGGAGCACACAGTGTGCATGTTGCTCACACATATGGTGGAAGCCTGCAAGGAAGAGCTGCTAACCCAAACACTGTCACATGCGGCAGCTGCCCTGGCCTCCTGACAGCTGGGACAATCGATACTCCTATTTAGGAAAGAGCACAAGCCCATTATAAAAGCTGACTGAGGGCCAGCATGACAAATGCCCTGCTAGCAGCAGCTTCGGAAGCCGTCCTTATCTCTGCTCCAACAGGACCTGAGCGCAACACTCGAAGGGCTCATACCCTGTGAGAAGTAGACTTGTTTGCTCAGCCCACTTCTAAGCATGTTGTTCTCTCCGCCACGTGAAGCATTTATTCAAGGCTCTCACTTGGCCATGGGCAGCCCCTGTGGGAGTGGAGGAGTTGCTGGTGCTCCACTGGGCCAGTCTCACCTTGGGGACCGGCAGCTGGAGCAAAGGCACCCTGCGGACACCCACAGCCCAGGTGAACCCCTGGACAGGTTGCTCAGGCTTGCTTTCCACCTGCCTGCTGCAAGTCCTGCTCCTCCCATCACAACCCCTGCGGGCCCCCGAGAAGGCTGCGACGAGGGGAGTGGGTCCTGCCCCGCACGGAGCCGTGCCAGCGCGGCCAGGAGGGCTGGCAGAGCCCCAGAGGGAGCCTCTCCCTGCTACAGCTCCCTCGCCATAGGCTGCAGCTTGAACCTGCACGGGCTGCCAGGAAAGAGCCCAGCAGAGCCGTACCGTAGCTCTCACCTGAACAGGCTTTGCCAGAATGATGCCACCTTTACAACAGCTGCTGCCAGCACGGTTTGAGCTGTAGGATGAGCCAGGCCTGTTCAGAAGTAGCAACTGGCACCTGCCCAGCAAACCCACAGCTTCCGCAGGCTACAGCACAGCCACCTACCCGGCTTTTCCTCCACATAAAGTTAAATTAAGTACGCCCAGTCCATCCTCTGCCCAGGCTTTGCAGTTCAGGCCCTGTCTTTTAGATTGCTTAGTAGTCAGAACCAAAAACCCTCAAGAAACAAATTCCTCGCCCTACACTGAGCATTTCAGAATTAATTTTTCCTTTATCAGCAGCCAGCACGACAGCAGCTCTGAGATACGATGCAATCCAACACCTGCGGTTTCTGCGGATAATCTTGTCTCTGGGCCTAAATCCTCTATTTTATTGATGGTGAAAGAACAAAATCAGGACTGGGACAACTGACACACGGCAACACCCATTCTCTAAGTGACAGTTTCCCCAAGGAGAAGGTGCCTGCCTCCCATCTAGCACAGTTGGGTGCTTCTAGCCACGGGCAACAATGCTGTGTTTAGTTCACCTTGTTTCTCCTTCCAGTGGCAAAATGCTTGAGCGAGCACAGAGCACAGAGCACCATCTGTGGCCAAGAAAGCAGAGATCAGTGTTGTGAGCAGCCCCAGAAGCTACAGGGCTGCTGAGTCACAGCTTTGCTCCCTCCCCTGCCGCTGAACCTTTGCTTATTATGAGTTTATTTTGGCGTCACACGAACCATTAGCCTGGGACAGGGCAGGCAGATTTGCAGGCTGAGGGGTTCTGCTGAATCACTCCGTGAGACTGTAGCAGCGTGAACGCTGCAGTCCTGGAGTGCGTGGCGGCAGCCTGGCTCTTGCCTTCCAGGGCAGACCTGCAGCTGGGGCACAGCTCCTCAGCCTGCTGGAACACAGCTGTCCCGGCCTCCTCCTTAGATGCTTCCACTACAGGAGCTGACACTTGACAGTTTTGTTACAAAACCCAATTTCCATCAACCCCAACAGCAGAACTGGAAAAGGAAGGCGACTGGTCTTTGTTAGAGGAGTTGGTGGGTTCAAGCTCCACACACGCCTGCACTCAGTGCTCTCCCTGGACACCTCCCTCCTGCTGCCCCTGGTGCCCTAACGGCATGCATCCCGTGGGGAATACCCAATATTTAAGCAGCAAATGGACAGAGAAGTGATTCCCTTCCTTCCCCATCAGAGACGAGGCTTTAAGGCAGACCAGCAAACCCACCGGAGAGGACAGCAGCTCAGCGAGCACAGGCTTCAACCCGCTACCTCCCAACTCCCACCCGCCTTTTCCTCCAAAACCTTATT